CATTAAACCTGCTGGGCGATATTTTAGATTACTGATGAGTAGTCGAAAGTGGTTGAACGTTCACATATGATAATTCGGTCGTGCCTAACGTGAGGTCAATGGCGCAGTGGTAAACACGGTTGCCTCATGAACAGCATGTCCGTGGTTTAAGTCCCGGCAATGGCGATGATATGCACTACTGATGAGCTCTAATGAGAGCGAAACTCGAGTCTAGTGCTTCTTTTCGAAAGGGGCCGACTGGAAAGTCTATGGGGATGCTACAGCTGCGATCAAGTGTGGGTGATGTGCAACTTGAAGACCAATTACGATATTTTTTGTGACAAGTGAAATATTTCATAATTTGTATGTGAAACTAAGGCTAAAACTAACATGTGGACAGCAATAGTTGTTTTTATTTTGAACGCAGTTTACCACCCGGATGGCCAACAATTCTGAAGTTGCTGTCTCTACTCCCACATGCAATGGCAAAACTGACATGCACAACATTACAAACACTGGGGCTGAATTACAGAAAACGAATTAGTTTGAACGTTTTTATTAGGTGGACGGAACCTTTCAGTCACGGAGCTGTTTTTCAAACAGTAAACTGAAGAAAGTGTGCACCTTAATTTGACATGTACAGTTTAGTTCAAGTTCCACACGCTATGCGTTAGCTACTGTAATCTTTAGACGACGTTTGACTAAAACTATGTACTGGAGACAATGGGGAATAAGTTTGTGACATGTAAGTTAAAACACTTCAGGTCATTTTAAAATATCAAATATGAACTCAGAATAGTTGCAGCTGGAATCATAGGCACCAGTGGGTTTTCTTTGTTCAACAACGTTTAGGCTTATCTGAAAATATGATGACCTAGAATACATATCAGAGAAAAACTACGTTCTAAGAATTTTGAATCTTTTGAGGAGAAGAATGAGGTAAAAATTGCCAAGAAATATACTAAACTTCTTTAAAAGTCTGATTTGAGGACATATATTTCGTTCAACCCGGATAGTGAATTCATTCAGAAATATGTCCCACGTCAAGGAAAACGAACAGGAGCGACCGACTTGCAGCAGTTATATGGAAACAACAGTGTTTGATGCCAAATCCACGGGAACGTTTGCTCACAATAGATTAATTCAACAAGTCCTGCTTCTAAAGCGAGTACTTCTCTATGTCAAGTAAACTCGATAGGTACAGATTTTGTCTGTTCCAAGATGAAGCAATAAATTACTTTTCCTGATCTGTGCATACGATCTAGTAAGATTGTAAGCAGTTTGAATTTGCCTGAAACCAGCTCAAAAGTGCAAGCCGAGAACATAATATGAACACTAGCGGCGTTTATTTGTATTTGTTGACAGGTAGATCAATTAAAACGTTATATTTTTGTGGCACGGATGATAATGCCTTCTGTATTAACGTAGAAGCAACAGGTTATAGAGGGTGAGTAAGGGGTTTCTGTTTGTCGGAAGAGGTTAGTGTTTAATGGAAAGGAAGGAGGTGGGATTAACTTATTTACCTTAACAGGCTGTCATAGCGGTCGGTTGCTTTTGGTAAACTATCGAACTCCTTTCTTTGACAATGTGATCCCCGTGCATCGAACCAAGAGTGTCGCTTGGCTACTTTCCGCAGTGCGCAGTGGGATATGTTGGCCGCCGACCTCATCATTTTATTAATCAATTTGATTATGCTTTCTTCTTACAGCTTACCATAGCGGTGCTTTGGTTTAACAGAGAAAATTCTTACCAATATCACGAGTTATATCAGCTTGAAAAAGTTCTAATTCTGATCAAACTATTATTAATGCAGATCAAAATCTCACCATGACAAAAATATTGAAAGTTTTTCAAAAATTGAGTTCTATTCCGCCCCCTCATTTTTTAGATCAAATCACCTCAAATTACTGACAAGATCCAGTCATTCGGAAAAGATTTTTTGCCTCTGACGTAAACACACCTTCAATAGACGAGGCGTAATAATGATAAATTAAAGGCTGTTGACAATAAGGTGGACGCATACATTCAAAATGGATTATAAAATCCACTGAAGCAAATTTTTGTTTTATTCAAGGACAAGTTAACTAGAGTCGGGTAGATCAGAAACTGTTTAAGGAATAACCATACAGGAATAAGTCGCGATGTCTGTAAAACAAACGTTTTACCAGAATATGGTGTAGGATGTGGTAACACATCTAGAGAAGCATAAAATAATGCGGATGCTATTTCTGACGACAGTTTAGATACAAGCCAAACTCACGTCCACATAAAATACTTGTTGCAAAGGTCAAAGAATACGCTGCTTTGCGATTTGGAACATAGGTGCACGTGTACACATTACGTCGTCTATGGTAGCGCGTTCAAGGTTCAGACCAGGCCAGATTACTTCAGTAGTATACTTCTTGTACATTAACGGAAGACATTTCAACATTTTGCGTTAACTTAACGCCACAAGCCTAAAAGCGCCTTACCTGAAACATACTGGAATAAAAAATATAGTACTCTCCGGTTATAGCAGCTAGCCGTCAGAAGAAACCTCCAGTTCATACTATAATGTGTGACAACAAAGTGATTTCTTTCTATTTTGAGCAGCGCTATCTGAAGATAACTTTTCTGAAGGTACTTCTTGAACTTTCTTACCTAATTGTTCCACAGACCAATAAATCGGAAATCCTCGGAAAGCGCTGTAAGCATGTGTAACAAGTATGTTTGCTCATAATACCAGGGAAGCCTACTTCGTAGTGTTCTCTAAATGTTGAGTAATGCGATGATGAAAACTACTACACCCGTACATTCTAATCAATGAAACCTTCTGACCGGGTTATACTGGGATGAATCAACCGGAGGTGAATTGTACTGGAAATGAACTTAGGATTCATAGGTTTCCATAGGATTTTTCGTTTCCTAGTCGTGTTGTTCGCGTACAAAATGGCCGGACTGAATCAGCCAATAGAAATTGTCTCAGCGCCACGTCCGATCAGTGTTAAAAAATGGAACGTGAGAGAAACGGTCAAGGTCCAGCATCTGATGAAATCTTCTAAAAACAACAGGTGAACAACGAATTGCGTCAGGCAGCATGCTTGCATAGACAAATCGATCAACTTTGTTATGCGTGACGGAGACAAAGGTAAATCCCAAAAGTAGAAATAGATTTCTCACCGAGGTTAGAATTTTACTAAACTGCTGAGAGCACGTGATGATATTACTTCGCTAAATGCTGAAGTTCTAAGCCATAAATTAAAACTGTGGTCGGGTAATAATGAGAAAAAAAGAAGTCAGTACATTTCCTTTAGTAACTACTATAGACGGTACATTTTTTTGACAGCTTTTATCGTACGTATAGCACACTACTGTGTTACAGTACTTTATTAATGTAAACGTTAACAAGCCTGAGTGACAGTATAAAAAGTGGCTTAGCCAGACATCACGAAAACTGACATTTTCCATCTAAACCTTCAGAGGAATTGATTGATTGTTATTTGTCTGACGGCCGAATGTCAATCTGTTAGTGTGCGCCAATTCTTTAGAAAAAATATTTTAGTTGATTTTATCAAGTCATCCAAATGTACGGACAATAAAACATGAAAT